ATCCTAAACCCTACACCCCTAACTCTGTGGCTTTCCGGCTGCCTGGAGATTCCTTCGACGTTACCGAAGCAGATCCGAGGGACACCTGCCTTGACCTTGGCGCATAAGGTTCAGGGTTTGGGGCTTTAGGATTTAGGGCTTAGGATTTAGGGTTCAGGGTTTAGGATTCAGGGTTTAGGGTTTAGGATTTAGGGTTCAGGATTTAGGGTTTAGGGTTCAGGGTTCAGGGTTTAGTGTCATGAAGGCCAGGATCCTCACATTTCACGGCTTCCCCAAATTATGGGGTCCCGTTAAAGGGGATTATAGGGGTTATACAGGCAATTATCTAAGGATAGAAAGGGTTTAGGGTTTCCCAAAATTAGGGATACTTTTGGGGGGATCGTCATAGTAAGGATTATAGCAGTTTGTGACCTACACTGGCTTCCCTCGTGTAGAGAAACTACCCTGTTGAGACAGCAAGGACGTTGTTGGGCTTAGGGATTCAAGGAGTAGGGTTTAGGGTTTCAGGCGTTGGGTTTAGGGTCACTGGTGTTGGGTTTAGGGCTTAAGGTCTTGGGTTTAGGGTTCAGGGCTCGGGGTTCAAGGTGCAGGGTTTAGGGTTGAAGGTCACCCTAACACTAGTACCCTAGTAACTGCTACAAAGGGGATGACAATTACTACTGGGTTTATACGGTGACTGCTACAGTCACGGCTGCAACCGCAACAGCAGCAATGAGCGGCTAGAGGCACTGGCCAGTGGGAAGATGCTCACCGTATTAACTCGAGGGCTGCAACGGATTAATTTGCCACGTGCACGTGAATGCCATTGACGGTAGCAAGGACGATATCAATCACGAAGATTCTGGGCTACGCCTGCACTACAACTATGGCAACAAGGGCATCGAGGACTACTGCCATTTGCAGGCTATTCCGAACTGCTTCTCGTCACTGGCTATCATGCCTGAGCTGATGACTTCCGTAGCCTGGGCTATCAAAGATCTACCCCTACACCCTCAATCCGGAACCAATGGTTGGACTATCCGGTCCAAGATCCGCACACTGTCTCCTGAGGGGATTCAGCGGGAGCTCCTGCGGCGGGAAGCTGGTTAGCAGAGAATGCAGGGATGATGGTGATAGCAACTATGCAAGAACTCACCCTCTTGCTGCATTCCGTGCCAACGGCCAAAATGAGGGTTCCAATTCCGTCACTCTTCGCCGTCTTTAACAAGACTGCACAGCACTTGCTGAAATCAAGCTGTTTGCGTGCTTGGCTCATTCATCTCTTGCCACTGAAGCAGAAGCATCTGATCTTGGTGTTACTTCAAGACATTCAGAACTGCTCAAGCCAAGCCATTCTAGCCTGCAGCAGGAACAGCTCAATGCAGCAGAGTTGATTTCCATCCTATGCCATTCCGGCTACCAGACGGTCTGGCCTGCGCATAGCATCAAACATGCTGCTGCTGCTGCAGCAGCAGCAGCACCACATTTGTCAAACGCCCCGAGGGTCAGCAGGCTTTTGGACCAGGCGGCAATTCAGAAAAGTGCCAAGAACTCCGCCAGGGCAAAAAGCACGCGGCATCTGGCTTCCGAGCTGGAGGTCAAACGGAGCTGGTGGCCAGGTCCCCGTTGGGCAGGGCAAGCTGTTATCAAACGCATTGACCAACAAAACATGAGACGCTTCAAGTGCTCCGCTTCGCTACGCACAACCGAGCGGTTTCCAGGTAGCTTTTGCGGCGAATAAGCAGACAACTGCAATCGTGGTTGGAGTCGGTCATCAGCCGGACTTCAGCTTGTCCAGGACACTTCTAAGGAAGTCAGCTCCATCTTCAGGGTACCGCCGAGCCTTCCAGCAACAGCGCTGAAATGAGGACTTCAATTAGATGCTTCTGGCAAGGAATCCTTTAAAAAATGTCCCCGAAAGACAGCCAACGAAAGAATCTACTACCCTCTAGAGTAGTAACCAGGATAGCAAGGCCAAGAAACTTCGTTAGAAAGCGAAGTCTGCATTGGAGCTGCTGCCGTGACCGCTGTCCACAAGTCGCCAACAGTTGCTTGGGAGAACAATTCCATGGTCTCAGCGCTCCTCATGAACCTAGACATGACATCCCAATATAACCCCTATATAACCCCAATACACTATGTAGTAGTTTCCATGTTATTTTCCATTATCCCAATATATAACCCCTGTATAACCCCAATATACAGAAGATACAGATCCATTTTGGAGGTGGGAGGTGCCCCTAGTATACTATAGTATATTATGGTATGCTAGAGTATGTTATATAGGGGTTCTATGGGGATAGTGGAAAAGAAAATGGAAACTACTATAGTTATATTTATGCTTCAGAAACTGTGAGTACGGAGAAGTCCCAGGAACTGGAAAAGCACAGAGTCATCCCAGGGATGGTACTCGAGACCTTTCAGCCCTGCTAAGCTTGCAGCAACCCATTGCACGAACAGCTTCACGGCAGGCGCCCCGCCAAAAGCTCCACATCCCCAGTTGCCAGTTGCACAGCTATGTCGATCGGGGAAAGCAAGTTTGGCAGCTCGAAAGCCGCAGATAGCTTTTCGGATGTCGCGCAGGGCATCCTCCACTTGGAACCTTACACCATGCGGCAATTGGTGTTCTGTTGCAAGCAAACCCCTCAAAAAGCACCTGAGCACAAAGAGCCATGTAGCAAATGATCGTGTCGATATGGTGACCCCACACCAGCGCCATCATACATCCTTGCATCTACGACAATCTGAACCACATCTTTGGAGAACATGTGTTCGTCTTCCTGCACGGCGCCCACATAGCAGAAGGTGTCTAGGAATCCTGCATGATGAGAAAATCTCCTCCAGGTGGCGTAGGGCACTTGGGTGGCGTCAATGAAGCTAAGGGTTCACAACGCATAGAGTTCGGGATTTACGACTTGCATTGGGTGAGATTTAGCCTTACTGTCATGGAGAGATGAGAGGACACACACCCTGAACAGATATTCACGAATGCTCCGAAACAGGCCAACTACCCTGACCAAAAGCAATCAAAATCCCTGCCCCCAGGAGGTGGCAGCTTCCATCAGTAAGGGGACCCAATATGCGCTACAAAATACGATGATCCTTATTATGTGGACTCCCAAAAAGGGCCCCTAGTTTTTTTGGAAGCCCTCACGTGCCCTCCTAGCGCCACATATCAGCAGCGCTTCGTCATCGTTCAATGGCTCTGAGAGCACAGTCGCCAGCGAAAGCTCAGGGTGAGTTGCGAAAGTGATTTCCTCCTGTGCCGTGGCTCCAGGTGCATTCAGGAAAATGCCGCCTCCAACGCTGGCGTTTGCAAAATCCACATGCAAGTACGTGTCTGAGTTGTAGATTGGCTTTCTCAGATCCTGTACCAAGCACTGACACAAGCGGGTCGTGTCGGACATTAAGCTTTCCGTGGTCAGCGAAGTGTCAGCGCAGGCACGGCTGATCCAAACTTCTCCCGTTCCTTCCATAGCACTGCCAACATGGTGGAAGTACTGCAAAAAGCAGCGGAGCTTCTCCGTGTTGGGCGGGAAACCACAACCATCCTTTGGGAAGTACAGGGGCGTCATGCTGGCGCCATTAGGCAGTAGTCCAAGGAAAGCCAGGGCAAGCAGCGTAGCAGTCTCGGAGTATGTAAAGGCAGCAGTAGCATTTCCTCGAGCTTACTTGAAGGCTGAGGGGACCCAGTAAGTAGGCTACAGGCGGGGATATAAGTCCCCGAAGTGGAGTGTTAGTCTGCGTAGAGCCTTCAAGTAATCTACTTTTGCCAAAAAATGAAGTCTGCATTTCCCTGAAAGGGGAAGAGTACGTACCCATCCTTTTCCTAACAGCGACCCAGCTGCTACCAGCCACCAAGATTGGCACGTCCTTTTCCTTAAACCTGGTCGCCAGCTCAGCCAGGCTCACAATTGTTGGAAGAACCTTAGTGGCGGCTACTAAGAAGTGAAAGTCCGTGCACAATCCCCCAAAGCAAAAAGAATAATCATCAACCACAATTCAGGCAGTCCTTATGGAATATTCCTTTATGCACTGTGAACCAGTAAGGAGCGATGTTGAAGAATTCGTCTGCTTCAGGAATCTCGTCCAAGACAGGCTCAAAATCCTGGGTTGCTGTCAAGCAACTTAATTCAAGTTGCCATATTATGGGTATACAGTAGATCATGGGGTTTCCTTATTGTAGCAACTAAGTTATCCCTAAACCCTACATCCCTAAACCCTAAATCCCTAAACCCTTAATCCCTAAACCCTACATCCCTAAACCCTAAATCCCTAGACCCTAAGCTTCTCAACGGCAACCCCGAATCCGGCTTGCCCGCACGGACGCAGTGGAAGTTGGGATCTGCAGAAATCTGCTGGAGGGCCTCTCGCAGCTGACCTGGGGCTTCCCAAAATGATCAGGGTTTAGGGTTTAGGGCTTAGGGTTTAGGAGGTCCATTGTACTTATAACCTACTTAGTAACTATAGTTATAAGCTAAATATAAGTCCCATAACGACAGTTACCTTAGATATAATTGGGTTCTAACTACAGTTACTAAGTAGGTTATAAGTACAATGGACCTCCAAGTAATATTAAACCCTGCCCCCCTAACATTAAATACCGACAGTATACTATAATATACCACAAAGGGGTGTATTTAATACTAGGGGTTTAGGGTTTAATATTAGGTGGAGGGGGTTAGGGTGGCAGTGGGGAACCCAGGAATGTGTGGATAGCAATGAGGTTCTTGGGATACTATGAATGATTCTGCGGGGCTAGCTTTTGAGAACAAACCCACCTGAAGTTTTGGCTGCCAGCACTTGAGGCAGGCCTGCAGAGATCGCGGGCCACTGGTTTTCGAAGAAAGCATCGTCAAGTAGAAGGCCAGCCGCGGGGATCATGGCTCAAAGGTATGCGACATGTAGGCTTTTCACGAACTGGGCTTTTGTGAGAAGCCTCGCTCTAGCTTCAGCTTCAGAGAACTTCAAGCTGCGGGGTGCTCAACATGCCTCACATCCATGTGACAGAGCGCACAGCCTTTTCACATGGACCCCCAAAGTACTTCTCAACAGCTGGGTCCCAAAGATATTCGGATCCTTCCTGCTGGGAGCCCTAACCCCCCAGACCAGTGACTGATTTGGAGAAACCGACTCCGCAGCTTAACCGTGGTCCTCCGGCAGGGATAGACTTTTCAAAAGGACGTCTCGCAGCCTGATGCAGGTGTGATTTAGGGTTTAGGGTCTAGAGGTTCGGGTGCCGGGGCCAATGGCTAAGGGCTTTAGGGCTTAGGGACTTCAGGGGCTGGTCTAGCGTTCAGGGGTAGGATTCATGACTTGGTGGTAATTTCCCAAAACAAGGGGGCCCCAATATAGACCCCCAAAGACTATGATCCTTAACATTCGGACCCCCAAGAAAGAGCAAGCACCACAAGTTCCCTAAACTCTAAAGCCTAAACCCTAAGTACAACATCATCACACTTACTTCCTATGGGGCCCTCAGAGACCCTCGGGATGCATCGGGGTGACGGGACCAGGAGACCATAGGATTCTATAGGCTTTAGGGTTTAGGGTTTAGGGTTTAGGGGGGAGATTCTATAGGGATAATACCCCCAATAATGGAGAATCAAATGGAAAAGCAAATGGAGAACGAAATGAAAGCTAGGATTATGTAGGGGTCTATATATGTTATAGGCAGTATGTTGAGCAAATCCCATGTCACATCATATCTAACCTATCCCCACAAGAGAGCCGATAGCTAGCACGGCAATAAAAGAGAATCGAAACGAACAAAAGCTCTTTAGCCATCACATTGGCTCACTTGCTGCAGAGACCCATGAAGCACAATCAGGGAAGAAATTTTCATTCCCTCGAAGAGGGGCCCTCCTACATACCTTGAAATATTAAATCCTTCCTATCTGGACTCTTTCTCCAAAACCGTGGGACCCACAAAACAAATGTTTGAACTACTGCTCGTAACATGCAACAGAAGATGAGGGATACATACCGTTGCCCCGTCTGGGACACAAGCAATCGGCAACAAAATCATGGTTCCCCGCATTAAACCTTTATGTTTTGCGTACAAATATGATATATACTAAAAATAGGAAGACGAAGCATAAGAAGACTAATAAGAAGAACAAGCGTGTGCATCATACACCCTGAGCCTCAAACCACCACCCCGATGGACCCCCTCTAGCACGTATCCATACTTGCATGGTGGTTTACATGTGCTACGTAGATAATACATACGACACCCATGTGTATACATATATACACATATACATACAAGCTGGAATATACTCAGCACATATCTATATGTCTATACATAAGAGCGTGTACATACATATGACATTATGTATATATGTACAGGTATGTACATAAGATAGATATATACATAGTATATATACATGTCGGTTGTGTGCGTATACATATCTTATATACATATGTATACCCTGTGAATATAGATATATATTACTCAGGCCTCCGCATCTCGGGTCCAGACTTCCAGTCCGGCGGCACCCCAGGTTCCCATCGCTACTTCTTTGGAGATCTAAAAAAAGTTTGCTGGCAGGACTCAGGCCAGCCAGAACACGGATGAGGCCAGGAAGAACACTGGGCCTCAAGAAGCACAAGAAGCTATTGTAACATATTTTCTATTATAGTATCTTATAGTTATAGTTGCAATAGCGATTTCTGTTCAAATATGCAAGCTGAGCATTGAAAGAAATTGGTTAAAGACACCAGCCCTCAACCACTGTCAGCTGCAAGGGCTTACCTTTGAGCCAATGGATTACAAGTCACGACTCTCGGAAAAGCAAAGCTTCTTGCAAGCAGCAGTGTCAGGTTCAGAGGGGGTTCTGTTTTGGGGCCCATTTCGTCGAGACCGCGTGAGTTCTAGATACAAGTCCTCAATCCAGCTGATGGTTCGAGCGCAACAGGAGTTTCAGGCAGTAACAATCTCTACTCTGGTCACTGCTATCCAGATGGGTACTTTTACTATTGCTATTGCTAGGACTGTCACAAGCTATTTCCACGTTGCCGCCAACCTTGAGGGCAAGACCCGTATCGTTCACGTACACGCCACCTCAAATGAGCTTCTCCAAACTGTGGGTGCTTTATCCGGGCTGTATGGGCATGAAAGAGCAGCGGCAAGAAATCTCAAAATGTCCTATCTTGGTCAAAAAAGTCTGCAGATATTGCTTTCCGTGGGGAGGGGGGGGGGTCGTTCATGGCATTTCAAGGGATTTTAGTCTTGCCATGCTCAATGTGTGTTCTAAACCTATCTGTTTGCAGAACCTATCTGTTTGCAGAATTTCCGCTGCGCCCCCTGGCCTCTTAAATGATTCAGACCATTCCACACGTATTGGTGCCTTACCGGTTGGTAAGGAGTGGAAAACGGAATAGCTCATGCAAACTTGAGGTTTGCAGGGATGTGTAGAGTTTAGGGCTTAGGGTTAACTTGCTGGTGGTTAGCAGAGAGTGAAGGAATGGAAAATGGAACTACTATACTGTTGTTGGGGACTATATGTGGGATACTAAGTCCATTCCTCTGTTCCCTACTAGCCACCCCGGACCCATAGTTTGAGGGAGTATGATTTCTCAGGTTCAAAAAATAAGGGGGCCCAACATACATCCCTACAAAACATAATCCATCTTATGGGTAGCCCAAGGAAATGACAAGTCCTAAGCCATGAATTGCAATGACTAACCCTATATCCCACGCATCCTAAATCCTAAGCCTAACCCCTGAACCATAAACCCTGAAACCCTTACACCCTTAAACCCTTAAGCCATAAGCCCCAGACTTTGGGTACTGCCCCCCCTCAGTAACATTTGGATAATAAGTATAATATGGTTATATATAGCCCTTAATAGGACCCCTAATATAGACTATTACTGGGTGGGGGCAGTACCCTTACACCCTAAACCCTAAACCCTAAACAACCCTAAACCCTAAACAACCCTAAAAGCCCTAGACTCTACATCCTTGACCTTGACTGTCGAGTTGCACTTGTGGGTAACATTCTCGGTCAGGTTGAAAGCATCACATCCCTCTTGCCTCAGACGTGGGCTCTTTTCGAGAGCACTTCGTATGGAATAGCACAGGAATCTCTCAAAATTCGGGGTATCTTTAAAGGGAATATACGGGTTATATAGGGCGGGTTATATGGGGATTATATAGGGTTTAGGGTTTAGGGTTTCCCAGTACCATTCTTGGGGCGGGGTGTCCCTATAATAAGGATTATAGCATTCTAGTGTCTATATTGGCGTCCCCCTATGTAGGGAAAGTACCACCTGCAAAACGATCTTCATGGATTGCCCTACCACACCCCCATATACTGCCCCCCTTCGGTTTGCCCTTAATTGGCCCTAACTTTTTTTTTAACAACCCGAACTACTTGGAAGTATAGGGGATAGTAGGGGCATGCTGGAAGGTATAGGGTATACGGGATATGACTAAACGTGATTATGGAGAAAGCTGGCAGGCGAGGTCCATCTTTAGGGGGCTCTTTATCCCAAAGTCTTGTATTGCTTTGCATCGTAGAATGTCGGAGTTCTGGCCCCATGCGGGCTTCCCACATTTGGGAACCCTGAAAGGGACCCTAAACCCCAAACCCCTAAACTAGAAAAACTTGACCCTGAAACCCTCTTCCCTAAAACCTGAAACAGAAAATCGAAGCCGTATCCACTGAAACCCTTAGAACCCTAAAGCCCTACATCCCAAAACGGTACACCCTCAAACCCTAAACCCTGGTGCACCCCAACTGGGGATCCGGCCGCAACTTCATTGAGTGGGAGCCGAAGGGGTCGTCAATGTTGGGCATTCGGTCCAGGCGAAGCCTGGGTATGAAAGGCTTACCTAGGGTTCAGTAATCCCTAAACCTTAAACCCAAACCTTAAACCCCGCAATGCTAAAAAATTGGCATCGACTCGGGCGGTGCTGTGATTTTGCTGTTGCACTGCACGCCTGCGACTTTGCGCACCTCGGGACTCCCCAACTTTCTGTCCATGGCGTCTAGAATGCCGCACAGGGCCAAAGCGCACGGCCTGAATCTGCCTCGGTAGGAATGTTGTTGGACTTTCGTGGGATCAAAAGAGCTTGTGTGGTTGAGGGTTTAGGGTTTAGGGGACTGTAAGTTGTTATTGGCGATCTCCCGATTGTAGCTTGACAGTTTTCCTGGCGCGGACTGGGGCCCAGCTGTGCCAGTCCGATAAGCTCAACTGAGCGTATCGTTTGGTACCTGAACCAGGTAAGATTACAATTTCAGTGCAGAAAACATAGTACCCTTACAACTACTCTTCTTGGCACCATGATACCCTCAAACAAGAAACTCCTCAACTCCTTAGAAGCTTCTCCAGGCAAGCATCTGTCTCGTAGATGGCGAAGTGTGTGAGGAAAGATGCTGATGCCTTGGGATCCTGCAGCGGCACCTCCACTTATCGTAGGGTGCAAGCTTCATCTTTAGCTTAGGGTTAAGGTGTAGGGATTCGCATGGATAATTACCAATGCTATTCCCTTATAGCTAACCCTCAAACACCTACGGTACAACATGCCCAAAAACTTCGTTCATTTTTTTGGCCCTTACATTACCTGAGGTTCCTTCATGTCGTCCAAAACCCAGCTGCAGGACGGTCGGTCAGCTGCCGTCGTCATCACTGCATTCCTCGGGACATGCGTTAGCTCCAAGAAAACGACCCCAGTGGCCTTGCTATATGCCCCCCAACCGAGCCCTTCATGTAGATAATTATACCTCAACACCCAAACCTTACACCGTAAAACTTAAACTCTAAACCTTGAATCCTAAACCATACCAAGCTACTTTCTGAAGTCTCGCACGGTTCAATATCCCAAAAATACTGTACTCACCAATTTTGGGAGGCTATGCAGGGCGGCGCAAAATTCCTCCATCCACCCTACTTACTGATGATGAGGGAATAAAGAAACGTATATTCTATAGGGATTACGTAGGGGATATATTCCCATATGTTCCCTACTTGCCCTAAACCTTAAACCCCAAATCCTAAACCTATTTCTAAACCCCAGGTATCTATACATATATATATATATTCCCCATAACTCCCTTCTAACCATAAACCTTAAACCCTGAACCCTAAACCCTAAACCCTGTATGTATATACATATATGTGTATATTCCCATATATTCCCTACTAACCACCGGCAAGCCTAGGGCATGGCTTCACCGAGGCACTCCGCCAGCCTCGGCAATTTCTGCCAGGGGGGCGAGACCTCAAGGCTTAGGGTTTAGGATTTAAGGCTCAGGATTTAGAGTTTAGGGTTTAAGGTCTAGGGTTTAGGCTTTACGGTTGAGGTTTCGGGTTCACGGTTTAGGGCTAAGGGCTTAGGACTTGCCGACGAGCTCCAAGACTGGTGGTCTCAAAGTTGATGGTTTGGGTGTAGACTGGATTTTTGCGGATAAAACGTAAAAATCCTCGTTGTTATTATTGACATGCTTATGACGTGCAAAATCTTATGTATTTTAGTGCAGTTCTCACAGTGGCCATGGCACATAGTGCAACGATGATAGTGTCAGATAGGACTCATCATCCGTATCATGACCATAGTCACGCCGAAACCCTAAATTCTAGCCCTGAACCTAAACCCTAAACCCTAAACCACAAGCAGCGCATCCTTAAGAAGCAAATCGGAGTATCTCTAGTGTAGACCGTGTGGACCAGGGCGCACTAGATGCAAGATTCCACAGGTCGTGTATCTTGTCTGTTTAATGCTTAGGGTTGAGGGGGCATATGTTGGGGTCCCCTCCTTTTGGGAAACTAGCAAAACCCTATACGCCCCATAGTTTTCCATCTTATTTTCCATTTGATTCTCCACTCCCCTATATTGGGGTCCCCCGTCTGTTGGGAGACTACCATAACCTATACCCTAAACCCTAAACCCTACCATATCTAGCGGGCCAACTGGTCCGCTTGGCGGCAAGCGGCGGGGGCCTGGCTCGTCCGACCCCTTGTCACCAGAAGTCGATGTCGCCAGTAAGTGCAGCTGCTTGGCAAACCTACCGAGACCCCCTAAGGCTCCAAAAAATGGAACCCCCCCAATGTGAACCCATTACTACATTGGGGAAACTTGAGGATTATTGGCTAATTATTGGGGGGGTTCCATTTTTTGGATCCTTTAGGGGGTTTGGGCATGTGCTGCTGTTAAGGAAGTGAACGTTGTTTCAAAAAAAGAGGCTTCATGCAGAGCCCAAATACGGTAACACTTGTGAGACAAAGGGCTCTGAACTTATGGAAATCCATAGGCATCTCACCCAACTTCACTTAGTCTAAGTTCCTGGTCCTCAGGCCCTTATAGAGGCACTAGTAATAGTCATAATAGTAACAGTCTACACCCCAAACCCTAACCTTACAGCAGCCGAGGGGCTCCAAGGAGCGGTGGACACCTTCCTGGCCTCATTTTGGGGCAGTTTACAAAGGCTTCATTTCCTAAATACCTGATGCCTAAAATGGGGACACATAGGCCCTAAACCCAAAACCCAAAGGAGACAGCAGGATGCTTAGGGACTTAGGGATCTAAGGATCTGGATTCAAGGCTGCAGGCTCAAAAACATTTCGCCCTCATTCTCGGACCCATTCAAGGCAATGAATGGCTTGGGGAAATGCTCATATCAACCTTGCACATACATACATACATACATACATACATAGAGTTAGGGTTGAGTGTTCAGGGTTAAGGGCTTAGGGTTCATATCCAAACTTACTGGCGATGGGTAGGGAAGAAGGGAGTATAACCACTGTATGATCCCGATACGATACGTTCCTTCGTTCCCTACTAACCCCTAGTATGCAAGGGTCATATCGAAGGGTTTGCATCCAAAATCTGTTGTCAAGCGACAGTGCACTGCCACGGTTTTGCCCTTCTGCAAAGCATCCTCCGCTGACGCTTCTCGCTGAAACATTATAAACATAACACAACTTACTATAATCACAATACTAGCAATGATAATTGTAATTATTATTGTTGAAATTTAAGATTTAGGACGGAGGATTTGACCCAGGTTCTATCTGATTTTCAATTCTCTTGTCCATGCAGTTCTTGATTATTGGCAGTTATACAGGCCCCTAAACCCTCAACCCTAGGGCGTGTTTCAGCTTCAAACGATTCTTCCCCTTCTGCAGTCCCAGGAGCCAACAAGGTCTGCCCGTAGTCCTTCAAGTAGCCGCTGCATGCCTCTTGCATATTGGCCTCTGTCATTGGCAGCCAATAGATTTCCACATCACCTCTTACTTCCACACTCGCAGAGCCCGTGCGCCGGGCGCAGTTGACAATGATGGCACCAGGCTCTTTGTAGAAACATCGGACAGCATCAGCACCTCCCTGTACCAGCCGACCCGAGCTGGGCACCTCAAACTCCCTCAGCCCGCCAACCATTGCCGGCTCCATTTTAGTAGCCCAACAGCAAAAGGGCATCTATCATGCGCTTCATGTTTATCCGCTCCGAATGCAACAAGATAGCACTAGAATCCAGAATTGTGGCATATTAGTCCAACTTTGTAGTTTGACATGGCCCTCGCAAAGTTGTGGCACATGATGCATCGTAGCTTGAGAACAAGATGCTGCACTCTGTCTCTCTGCTATACGCATACACATACACAAAAACCTTCTTTACTGCGACTCTATATAATTCTATATACATATATTGCACGTAGCGTTCATACTCATACTCACTCTACATACAAATAATATGTCTGCAAACAGTTGCAGAAACAAGGGTTAGTAAGTCGGTATGTATGTATCTACGCCTGTGTTTCTAGATGTGTATACACGTATGTATAGATGTAGTCTAGCATCCACCTGAGGCAGGAGCGCTCTGGAATCGCTGGCATCATAGTGATCCCGCCAGTCCGTGAAATTCACGTGAACAATGATGGCTTCATCCATGGGAGTTGTCTGGTTGTAGATGTAGCCCAGCGCCTCAAACACGTACGGGCGCACGGAGTACGTAAAGGCCAACTCTTGGAAATCGTTCGGATCATCCACACGCATGTCAAAGGTTTGGTTCTCCACTATAACTACCGGCCAACCACTCAGCTTCTTCGTATCATACTTCACACGGTCGAATCCGGCGGACGTTTGAACGTTCATGTCCTTGCCGTCCAGCTGCCAAGGCTGTTGCTCATTGACTAGCAACCGGCGCATCCGCACCGAACCATCCGAAGCACCGCACATGACTCCGTTCACATGCTCATCGACAACACTGCAAATTCCCGGGAAATGGTTGTACTCGTAGTTCAGAGAGACGAAACCATTTGGGTAGCCTGTGAGGGTTCCATCCATGTCCCAGAAGATGCCAGACTGACCATCATAGCTGAATGTACGTCTGGAAGAATTGAACCATCGGATGCGTTCGTATCGCATTGTGCAGGTCGTCTCGAAGCAACCATGCAGAGGAGCTGACGTGAAATAGTTGATCACTGTCAATCCAGAGACGTAGAAATATTCATTGTCCTTGGGCCCCCTGATGCCCACTCCCCCCTTCGAGAAAGTCGGGTTTTCTGCAATGTTGCCCACCAATACCAGATTGTGATAGAACGGAGCTGTGTGTGGTCCATTGCTCAAGTGATTCATGAAATGGCCGGTCCCACACTCAATGAACCTGTGATCATCGTGGAAGATGTTGCCAGTGCCGTAGTAGAACATGCCCGTGGAGCATCGGAAAGCTGTGAAGTTTTGGAAGACATTCAAGGTGGGTGGGGCGTGGGGCGGCTTCAAGTGCCACCCGAATCCTGGGTTGCTGCTGAGTAACTCAAGTTAGATTACCACTACAAGAAAACCTTGCTAGTTACTGTATGTATATTACTACATATCCATCTTATGAAGATTTATTATGATTTATTACGGTTCCTTAGCAGCAACCCAGAATCCACTTGCATGGGCTGAGTTATTGAAGAAGGTGAGGTCAGTCTGGCTTCCTGCTGGACCAGCGATGTTCCTCACCCTCCAACCACGGTGGCAGCCTGCAGCCAAGTTGGATCGATGCCTGGCATGGGGTGTTGTTACCCCAATTATGGAGAAGCACATATAGGGGTTATATTGGAGTAATATTAGGGTTATGTTGTGTTCTATCCTGAGGCAAGCCCTCAAAATTATGGTCCCTTTTTGGTGTACTTTTGGACCGTGTTATAATGGGACCAGAAGAGGGACGAAGAGAGAAAACAGAATTCGGACAACCTACCAGGAGCAATACATTCCCCAGAACCCTAAACCCTAAACCCTAAACCCCTCCAGAAAATAGTAAAAGTCAAGCCAAAGCTGGCGGCTTCACGGTTGCCGTTGAGGAACTTCAGAAAAGCAACCATACTAGGGAAACCCAATGAGATATATATGTACATATATATGCACTATATGTCACTATGGTAAGTTTATCTTAATCGCTGTGTAAAGCCTGTACAACCCCAGAAAGACCTTCAAGGGGACCCATTATGGCGACAGAATTTAAGTTCCTTAGCTCAACCATAGAGCCTGTAACCCCTGTAGACCATTTAAAGGCACCATTATGGTAACGTAGTTTAAATTCCTTAACAGCCCTATAACCCCTATAAACCATTTAAAGGGACCAGAAATGACCAGAATGGTAACTTAATTTCAGCTCCTGCAAAGCCCTATAACCCCCTATAAACCACTCAAAGGGACCTTCATGGTAACTTAATTTCAGTTCCAATACTCTAATGTACTATAATGTACTATAATATACTACAACATACTAGAATATACTATAATATACAAAGTTATACTAAGTTATATAAGTTATACTATAATGTAACCATAATATACCTTGACAGCAAGCCAGTTTTCCACAGGTGCATCTGGCGCCGAACGCTTCAGCGCTCTGAAGCTCTGAGGTGGAAGCTCAGGGCTGAGACACTGACAGTAATAGGGTTTAGGGTTTAGGGCTTAGGGCTTAGGGTTTAGGGTTTAGGGTTTAGGGCAATAGTAATAGTAATAGTAATAGTAATAGTAATAGTAGCGGTAATTGTAATTGTAATAGTAATAGTAACTGTAATTGTAATAGTATAGTAACAGGAATGGTAATATTGCTATTATTACTACTGTTAGTAATACTGCTATGATTAATAATAAGAGAGATTAGTAATGTAGTAAGAGTAATAGTACCGATAATAGTAATTAGGTATTAGTATTATAACAGGAGTAATAGTGATAGTCATTCTTTTGCAAGTTTGAGTTCCCCTAAACCAATAAGTTCCCCTATCCTGGTTAGGTCCAAAAGACCCAAATGTTTTGGGAAGGAAATCCCAGTAGGTGGCTTGTATGCTTGCTACTCAAACTCATCCGGCGTATGACCGAAATAAAGCATCCGCTCACTCTCTGGGATGCCATCCAGCAGAGTCATCTCCTGACCTCAGACTGTTACTGTTCATCCTAAACCCTTCCTGGACCCTCCAATGTAGTTCCTTTTTGGATTTGGTATGGTTTTGTGGTTAGGACTCTTACTAGGATTACCAAAAATGTACTACAATGGAGGATCTAGGTAAACCCTGAACCCGAAACCCGAAACCCCACACCTGTAGGATTCAGGCTGATCGGAATGGAATTGGATTTGGTAGTTTCGATAAAGAGGGGTACCCCAACAACATGGACCCCAAAACACTATAACCCCTATGAGAAGGACCCCAAAATTGGAAACCCAAATCCATATAAACCCTATCTGGAATCCCACGAGCCATTCCATGTTCCATTTAGTTTTTGTTGGATTGTGCAAGTTATGGGACTATAAAAGGGAGGAACCCACTTGTTGTCAGCTGGATCAAACAGCTTTGCTTGCGTTCAGCCACTTATTTGATGATTATGAAAATTGTTCTTCCTCATATTTCGACTTATTACTATTACTATTTTTACGAGTGTTCCTGGTACTACTAGGGCGCGCCCTGGGCGTTTGCCCGGACGCGATTCGGTCACGTGTGCGAATAACCCACGCTTTACAGTGTTTGGAGGTTTTCGACGGTGCATAGTCGGGGCATAAAAATTTCGTATCTTTTACGTTGGTTTTGCAACATGCGATTTTGCTTGTCATGTCAGGCCGCAGAATCGGCATGTTCGTTTTCACCACTGTGCGCAGTGTTTCGTGCTCTTCAGAGCACAGTGCTTATGCACGAAATACGCGATCTTTCATTCCCAAAGTGGATGGCCCAAATTCAGGATTTCAGGGGTTTTTGGTCTGAGGTATCCTGAATGTGTAACGATTCACGGGAATTAAAAACCGCGCATTCTAGAAGCTTGTCGCTTGTTTTCAGCAGTCTGCGCAGTGGTTCCTGCTGTCCGGCTGTGTGTTTGGTTAGTCGTTCTGAACGAACGCAAGAATTTTTGCTTCCCGTACAGGATGGCCGCATTTTTGGCAGCTCTGGTAACCGCATGCTGTGGGACCACTCACGTTATTATGGTTTTGGCATGGATGCTCTGGTAACCGTATGATTTAGGAACACGAACGTTATTACGGTTTTGGCATGGATGGTCTGGTAATCGCACTCATTGAAAGATGAACGGAATTATGGTTTGGGCATGGATGCTCTGTTGGCATGGATGCTCTGCTCTCGGAACACGAACGTTGTTATGGTTTTGGCATGGATGCTCTGGTAACCATATGCTTTAGGAACACGAACGTTATTATGGTTTTGGCATGGATGCTCTGGTAACCGCATGCTTTAGGAACACGAACGTTATTATAGTGTTGGCATGGATGCTCGGGTAACCGCATGCTCTCGGAACACGAACGTTATTATGGTGTTGGCATGGATGCTCTGGTAACCGTATGATTTAGGAACACGAACGTTATTATGGTTTTGGCATGGATGCTCTGGTAACCGCATGCTTTAGGAACACGAACGTTATTATGGTTTTGGCATGGATGGTCTGGTAATCGCACTCATTAAAAGATGAACGGAATTATGGTTTGGGCATGGATGCTCTTGGCATGGATGCTCTGCTCTCGGAACACGAACGTTATTATGGTTTTGGCATGGATGCTCTGGTAACCGTATGCTTTAGGAACACGAACGTTATTATGGTTTTGGCATGGATGCTCTGGTAACCACATGCTTTAGGAACACGAACGTTATTATAGTGTTGGCATGGATGCTCAGGTAACCGCATGCTCTCGGAACACGAACGTTATTATGGTGTTGGCATGGATGCTCTGGTAACCGCATGCTTTAGGAACACGAACGTTAGTATGGTTTTGGCATGGATGGTCTGGTAATCGCACTCATTGAAAGATGAACGGAATTATGGTTTGGGCATGGATGCTCTGTTGGCATGGATGCNNTCTGCTCTCGGAACACGAACGTTATTATGGTGTTGACATGGATGCTGTGGTAACCGTATGCTCTTGTTAACGAAGCTGGACAGCGGATGCGCTTGACAACGGATAAATTCCGGGCAAACTATGTGTCTCAACCTTGTGCAAAGTTCCATTGTTTTCCCTCACAAATCAAATGATGTCTATCTCGAGGACAGAACGAACCCTAAATCGAAACCCAAAACCTTGAACCTTAAACCCAAAAAAGATGAGACAAGTTATTCGCAACAGCTCTTTTTGTAAAGTGTTGCCTCATCCGTTCCTGCCTTTTTCAAGCTTATCGCAGATCTGGGTATGTGCTGGACACTGCCCCACCCAATAATCGTCTTTTACAAGGGAAATGTTAAAGGTTTTTCTCTTCATCTTATAGCCAGTCTCCAACGAATACTGAGTGGGGACAGTATCCAAGGCATGTGCCAAGAAGACTGTAAACCTCATCTGAGCTTATTCAGCATAAATCTGACGCAAGAACATTCCCTAGATTCGCCGAATGAAAATCTTCTTAGCGACCCTTCGATACTGGGAAAACAAAAAGGGGGTGTCATATGGGAATCATTTTGGAAGCCTCCTATGAGGCAGCACTGTCTAAAAGACCTACAAGAGCAGTGTTTTTTTGTGGTTAAACCCAGTAAGATTATATTCCTTATAAAAAAAGATACTATACCCCAATAGGAGGATATAATCTTACTCTATATTGGGTACCGTAGTATCCCCAAATAAAATACTACTCACAAGGGTCTGTGAAGCAGCTCCGGGGTCTACAACATTTATTTTCGGGTCTGTAGGGTGCATGGCGGATTGTATGAAACAAGTCTTCGGATTACTGGGTTGCTGTTAAGGAACTTAAATTAAGTTACCATAATGGGTATATATAGTAGATAATAGGGTTTCCCCGATATAGTAACTTAATCTAAATTCCTTAACAGCAACCCAGATTATCTAGAGGTTCCTCAAAAACCTGGATTCTCCTTTGGGGGTCTGAAGAACAAGCACACCTTGCACTAGGGTCTACGCGGGGGAAGGAGGGTCCCCACTTATTAGGAACTAATCCTAAACCCTAAGCTCTAGACCCCAAAACCCCCAAGCACTTCTATAGCTTCGGAAAAGTCAGGTGCCCGGCTTCCGAGCTCGAAATCGAAGATCTGTAAGTTTTCCTTATTCATGGGCGGATGAATCGAAGCTCAAATGATTCTCTGCTGAACAACTTCAACCCTAAACCCTAAGCCCTAAACCCTAAACCCTAAGCCCTAAACCCTAAGCTCTAAACCCTAAACCCTAAGCCCTAAACCCTATCCAAGGAGTTCATCCCCCTCCTCGACGAGAAAGATCCACCTAGCAACCCGAAGAGGAACCCAACGATAACAAGAACAATGTTCCTAGTAATAATAATATCAATAACAATAATAATAATAATAATAGGTTTAGGGTTTAGGGGTAATAGCAATATCAATGATAATAACAGTAGTATTTGTAATCATAAAAGTATAAATAATAACCATAGGAACAACAATATCAATAATGTTAATATATCAACAATACTAATAGTAACTAGAGAAAGCTCCCTGATTTTATTGCATGGCCAGGCGCCGCTTGATGTTTTGGATTGGAGGTGCCAGGAATCACGCTCACGTTGTGCCTCAATCGTGCAAACAAGTCAGGCCCCTTTGGTTCCACCATGATGTACGGACGATGTAAGGTTTTGGGTTTAAGGTGCATGTGGGGCTCGCATATCAGGGCTACGCTTGGCAGAGAACGCTAAAATGGATTCAGAATCATTGAGCTGTACCCGCACCCTGGGAACCTTGTCAGCGAGCTCTGCACCCGCCCTAGACATGTGCGCTGAAGTCCACCACCCTAAACCCTAAACTCCCTAAACCTAACATAGCCATGACGTTCAGGAAGCTGCCCTGGACTCGTGCAGCACAACCAACCGATTGCTTCTTCTATACGATCTGCGTTTGCGAACAGGAAAGGGGTCAAACTCAGGTCTCATTGGTGAACCTCAACAAACTACAGCTGCTTGTTTAGGACCATGCCCATGCCCTGAACTAGTCCTTGAACCATAAAATCTCATTCCTGGACCCTAACATTTTGAACTCGAAGAAGGGACCGCAAAGTTTCCCTCAGGGGTGCCGACTGCACTGCCCATCGCAGTAGCACCTGCCCCGGCGTTTTGCCGTGGAAGTCCTGGGCCCAAGGGAAACTACAAGCTCTGGAGCTGCTGCTACCGGGATTGGAGCCAGAAGTACAGAGTAGTAAGTAGCAATGGCCGTCGTCGTCGTCGACCAGCAGCAGCAGCAGCAGCAG